AAATTATCGTGCAGTATATTTCCAAGACATGTCCACCACGACAGGACGCCGGTTTTGAATGCTCTTCTTTTCGATCTCATTCAATGACCGGGCTCCGTGAAAGATGACAACTTGCAAAAACAGCGCTCCGCAAAAAATCACAACTTAGTTAGTATACACTTTTCCTATCGGTTTTCGATGTCCTTCTAACTTCAAAATCTATTTGACAAAAGACATGGTCAAAATATGCACTCTTTTACTCATATGGTTGCGAATCACGTCTTTTTTGAATTGCATACTCGAATAAGGGCTGCAGCAGATCATTCGGCTCTTGCCTTTGGAAGAAAACTACTTAGTACCAGGCAGCTCGTATTCAAAGTGACAGGGCGGATGACTTCCAATCAGAAGGACAAAGAATTTATTCGTTTGAGCTTTCGGACTCTTATAGCATACCATCGCCGCGGGCGAAGCGACGGGCATCCAGTATGCTGCATTTGTAACGCACTACGGATCCGGTAGAGTTGTTTAAGTCTATTGAAGACGCCTTACGCGGGGATCCAGAATGGGGCCGGGGTTACCGCGTATCCGTCAAGAAGGCCGACGTCCCTAATTTACCGCCGCTGAAACCCCTTCCACTCTCGTTCGCCATTAGCCACAGCGCTGCGCACTGCGGCCAGCAGTCTAGCAGACATGTCAGAACTACTCCCTACCAATCCAGATGGAATATTTTCAACGTTAACACCGTCCCCTCATTCATTGTTGGACATCCTTTAGTTCTTGATTTGCACCTTAACTATAGCATAGCTTTCATTTACTCCAAGGCCCTTTTCGTACGATATCCTCATGTGCATGTCTTCTGTGCTGTTTAAAAACTTCGCTCAGCGCTTCCGTAACGGGAAACTATCTCGAGTGCTTTATTTGACCGAGTGTATATCGTACTCAACGTCTTCGGCCGCTACGCACTTTCAGCCTCACCCAGTCACCAACTGGTATGCCCTATCTGCCAATGGGTCTACAGAGCTTGGACAACAGCGGGCGAAGATGTGGTGGTCCACTGGATTTTGGTCAGAATTACCAAACTTCACGAACTCTGGTTCAGAAAGTTAACTTTACCGGTGAAAGTAAAGACAAGAGTATCATCAAGCTGCCTGTAGACAAGGCAAAAGCAACAGCCAGCTTCTTGATGAGCTAAGGGGGGGGAGGAATTCAATCCCTATCTCCGAATAGTGCCATGTGAAGCCCGCAGACTCAGCGCATACTAACTTATAGGAACTGCCGAAATGTAAAAATCCAACTTTTCACTGTGTTCAGCAGTTAGCCTGATGGTGCACCCTTCTAGAAGTCGGCCTATTGGGTTGTAAACTAACTCAAAAGTCCCGATTAGACCAAATATTAAGCTTTTTTACTTCCGAAGATGAAAGATGTAGCCATTTGAAAATATGGTGTCCCTCAATGCGGCAACAGCCTATTTCCGTTCCTTCTATCTTGGTTGGCTTAGTCCCACGCAAACAGCTGGAAAAAAGGCACGACATAAAGTATGGACTACTTAAATTTACACATCTGATTGAATTGGTTGGTTTCTACCAATAACATTTTTTCACATTCGAATCTAAACCCTGTGTGAGTCCAGAGGAACTTTAATATATTGCCCAGTCTCGGGTGTAGCTATGAAATTGACTCTATGCCTGTTGGAGAGGCTTGTCCTTTATTCATATGAATCCGCATTTGGAGCCGCTACATCTACGCCACATTTGCGATACTCAGAGAGCGGACGCTTTTAAATTTCCACGACTGTACCATCACCGAGAGAATAGAATTACTGGCTCTCTTCCACGGAGTTCTTGAAAAAAATCTTGAAAAATCTTGAATGTACTGGATGGAGGAGAGTACGTCGAAATCCCTCATCTGTCACAGCCAATATCCAGTGCAGCACAAGCGAAGTCATGTTGAAATTCATTGAAGCAATTAGGATCCGCCGTAGTACTACGGGTTCCCCCTTAAACGACGTCCGTCAGGCGATAGCCCCCTTAGCCTTCATGTTACGGTTCTTACGTATTGTCTCATACAGGACTGAAATCGAAAACTATGGCATTCTCTGCTGACCGACGGGAATATCTTCAAGCAAGGGCATGCAGGGGGGGGATCTGAAATGACCGTGGGAAAAAATCTGTAAAATGCGGGAATGAGAACCCTCCGTAATACAGGCGGGTGGTCTTGCGCTTAATTCCAGGAGAGGTTCCGTGTCCTTATCCCAACCCTAACGCCAACCATGACCCGAACCTTACCCTTAGCCCTACCCCTAACCCTAATATTTTTCCTCCCGGAATTTGCCGTAAGATTACCTGTATTGCGGGGAGGGCTTCCTATTCCCGTGTCTATAATCAGAGCATGTGGGTCTGGGTTGTTAGCCTGCATGTCTTAATTGCTCACGCATGTACGTAGGGCAAAGTGAAAAAAGACCGGAATTGTTATGGCACAAACATGAGCCGATGGTGTGACTGTCTACAACTATGATACTGGCCATTATTTCGACCCTGTGCCAACGAAAATGTTTGTCCGAGGCGCCAGCAAGGAAGCACGGAATTCAGAAAAAATCTGGAATTCTGGACGGAACATAGTTGGCTGTCCATCAGACAACTAATCGCTATTCCATATGGTTCATGCCAGCCGCGGACTTGCTGAATGAGGATCTAAATACTGTCTGTTTTCTGGTGCTTTTTCGCTTCGGATGATGGTCGCCTGTACGTGTCCGAAAGCTGTGATAGGTAAACTTTCCGTCCG